TTTTAGAAAATGGATTACTAGCTCCGTAGATAAACAAAATAACTGATATGTAAAATAAATATCAATATAAATGTCACATTGTTTATCATTTTGTAAAAGCAGCCAAACAATATATGGGGCGATGTTAAAAAATATGGACCGCATCATATTTCATAATATAAAGACGATCCTTTAGGGTAAATTAAGAACAACCAACTTTATGTGATACATCAAAAGTATATGAATATGTATCTCTGAGAGGGTTATATAAGACTCACCCGAATCCGAACCAATATTTCATAATGTAAAGGGAGCTCCAAGTATTACTAGCTCTCCTAATTGCGATAAATCGATACCGAAAGCATGTGGCATGCGTATATGGATTCATTATTGTGTAACAATTACTTCTAACGCGATGACATTTTATACATTAAAATTATTTAACATAAATATTTATTTTTTTGAATTTCATTTAAATCGTTAGTTTTAATAAAGTTCATGAAGTACTCCTTTTACCTCAGTTTTCGTAATTACGGCTAGGTCCATTTATTTATTTATTTATTTATTTATTTCAATTTAAAAATATTTTTAATTAATCTTTTTCTTTTCTTACGTTTGAATTTAGTTAGCAAAGATTTTAGCATATTATATTATATTATCAGTCTCTGACCTAACAATTTTAGTATATTATATAAAACACATTCATCCTATTATTTCCAAAATGCATATAGTTGAGTTCATTCTTCTTTTGTATACACAAAGACAGTTAATGCTCACCTCTGATTGAAAATCATCCATGCTTCCAGGCTTTTCCACTTCAGCTCGCCAGTGTTTGTTGACAACATCGCCTGCTTTCAGATCTATATCCACTTCGTCACAAACATAAGTAAGGCTCAACATTTGGAAACACAACATCACATATATAACTGCACCGAGCTATTAAGGAAATCGTATCCGTTAATAAATCTTTGAAGTCAAATTAATACTTCAGTTATAGTTACCACAACTGTTAGGCCAAAATTTTCAAGTTTAAAAGTGTACATAGTGAAGATCGCAATACAAAACGTAAGCACCCATACTATAATCAAATAAACACCATAAACTATGTTCTCATGATGTAATGTCACAACAATAATAAAGATGAGGACACATAAGGAGATCTATTTTTATAGATTTAAATATTTTTAGAATTGCTTTAACATTTCTCATTACAGAATTGATACTTACAAACCATATAAGAATAATTAGGATAAACAATCCCGTCAATCCCCCTTCATCTTCATCAATATCAACCATTTTTCACTACTGAAAAGAATGCTTAAAACATATTATTTCTTCTTGTACGTTTTACCGTACTTATATTAATTATTTATTCTTTGTCCAGAATGAAATAAAAATGATATTAGCTTTTTGAATAAAATAAAAATGACATTAGCCAATTTACATGTTTTCTTGCGTGGCCAGCTCCTATCATTTTTAACATGGACGAGTATCATGTATGTTGCCACATCATGTATATAGAAATTTTCCGGTTGGAGTATAATATTACCATTATTAAGCCTTTTTTTTGTAAGCATATCGCAAAAAAATAACTGTTTATTTTAAAAATAACGTATGTATCAACAACATTGCTGACTTATTTAGTCCAACTTCTTTGAAACCGCGTAACTAATAAGCAGTTCAAATTGTATGGTTGCCAAGACTAAAAATTCATCTATTGTGAACGACTTTTGGAAGTACCTACGAAATTTCCAGTTAACTGTCAACGAATGATTTCGTTAGTTATTCGTATGTCATTGTTGATAACAATTACGTTACTTTTATTTTATTATTTTACTGTTAAAAGTCACGAATATTCAAATTTTATTCATAATTATGTAAAAAAAAAATATTTTTCCCAATAATTACACAGAATTATTATTCCTTTTCGAAATTTTAACTTTAAATTCTATTACGTGTTTTGCACATATAACCCTAACAAAATTTATATTTTATCCAGAGTTGTCATCAGAAGTTGTGCTTATTATATTTGTTATTTTGCGACACGCTTGCAGAAGAAAAAGCCAATTATTATGGGTCTTTATTAACCGTAATACTAGGGACGATCTCTCCATGGAACTACAACTAGCCAGAACAGCGTAGCTCTAAGTAAACGGGAATCAACCGGAATGATATTTGACATTGCCAAAACTAAAATCATCGGTAGCTTCCTGCAAGAAAGGTCCTTCCTTACCAAAATCTACAGCACTCTTTCGTCCGCCCGCACAATAAAAGCAGGTGTACCTCAAAGGTCGCCACTGTCACCCACATTGTTTAATATAGATATATACGGCAGACATTCCCACCTTAAGCCCTGCATCAATGTCGTTTTACGCAGACGACACGTGCTTGATCTACTCTGACCGGGATGCCATAAATGTAAGCAACACCTTACAGGTAAATATAGACCTCATGGTGGAATACTTGCAGAAATGGAAGATTAAAATTAGCAATGACAAAATCAAGGCTATATTCATAACACAAAAGAGAAGGCAGCATCCTCCAAGAGTGACCGTCGGTGACGCTTAGATACTGTGGGAGGAAAGCATAAAATATCTGGGGACCACTTTTGACAATCGGCTCAATTGATATAAACATATGAAATACAAACGGAATGCTGCTCTAAAATTCTACATATTCTAAAGCCGCTGTTTAATAATAATCACTTCAACCTCAAAAATAGAGAGTTACTAGGTATTCTCAAATAATTAGGCCAGCACTACTGTACGGATGTGTTACATACAGCAAAGCCTACATTGCCATAAAGCAATTACAGATAGCACAAAACCTGGCTATAAGAAGACTATTTAAGATTCCATGGTATTTTAGAACAACAGACATACACACAGTTCTAAGGATCGACTCAGTGAAAAAATATATCAGGGACAAACCTCAAACACTTCGGCCAGTAAAGAAAAAAGTGTTACCAACGCAATAAGTGAACTAATATGAGTATTCTTTAGGAATTCCAACGAATATTGCAATCATATTTCAAATATCATATGTAAACAAAAAACCAAACAAAACTGAAAAATTTTATAAATTATAAAATTGGGAAAAAAGAAAAAATTTCAGTGTTTTATTTTGAAATTTCTTACCATTCTTTTTAATTCTGTATTCGTTTTAATTTTCAATTTTATATTAACTATTTATTTTTATGCTAAATGTAATTTGCTTGCATTATGTGCACTTGGTAGATTCCAGCAGTGATGCCAATGTCTCGCTTAGCGAATATAGGCCAGCATGCGTTTTTTGTCACACTTGCGAGCCACCCTAAACGCCTATTCTACAATTTTATATTATATGATCAGACGTGGTTTATTGTTTCAAAATATTAATAAAATAATGCACCAAGTATCACTTAAATTAATACCAAAAATTCCTACTTTATAATCTACATAAAAGTTAGGGGCTTCATAATCTGGTATCGCTAGGGACCAATAAATTTATGCGTGCTTTCGGCTATACAGGTCAACCTTACCTATTCCGTGTTTTTAATGCAGTTGGCTTACGTCTTTCATTTTGGTTTTATTTTGTATTTTTTGTGTAGTTAGCTGGTATTTCTTTACTTGTTTTCTATTTATGTACTTACCTTCTGCTCAAAAAGTATCCGGATTTTGTTGTTTGTTAACTACTCCTTAAGTAATAGACGTTTTTCAAAAATTTGTTATGTTGGTACACCCTTTCTTGACATATGGTACAAATTTGAGCGCCATTTGTCAATTAATTTGTTTACAGTAGCTGTTAATGTGAAACTACCTTAAGTGCATTTAGCGACTTTTAGTATGGAAAATTCTTGTTGTACGCGATTTTTTGACCAAACACGGTACCACTGTCATCGCTCAGACACCATATTCGCCAGATCTGCATCCGTGCGACTTTTTCCTGTTCCCGAAACTCAAAGTACCCCTTCGTGGTAAGCGTTTTGAGTCGATTAAATCGGTAAAAGAGAATTCGCTGAAGGAACTAAAAGCCATACCTTCACGGGCCTACGAAAAGTGTATGGAAGATTTGGTTAAGCGTTGGCATATGTGTATCGCTTCAGAAGAAGCATAAAATAAATTTAGAATAAAATTCAATTTGTGTGTTCTATTTACAAAATCCGGGTACTTTTTGAGCAGATGGTATACATACAACGTTTAGTAACTAATCATTTATTTACAATATCGTGCCATATATACGACATATAGAAAATAAAATAAAACGCATTTTAATTCATTTTCATTAAGTTGCACATAACTGGGAATTTAAACTAACATAAAGTCAATTTATTTCTTGATATTGTAAAAACATTTAGTGAAAAATGTTGGAATCAATAATCCTTTTTTATAAGTATAACAATTTGTTTTTAAATTTATTTACATATTTTCAATATACATTAAGACATAAGTCTATAACAATAAGCTGATTTATATACATTAAGACCGAAAAGTTTTCGGAAATTCTCATTTAAAATTCGCGCGCTGTATATTTTTCGATATTTTAAGTTTATGTAGTTTGGCAGCAATTAAGGACAATTACTATGCCAAAATGAGCGCGATCTGTCAGACAGTTCGTTTACGGCAGCTGTTGAAACCAGTTCACCTCAGTAGGGCGTTGCGAAAAAAACAATGGAAAAAAATATTGAACAAAGAGTTTGCATCAAATTTTGTGTTTCGAACGAAATTTCGTGTGCAGAATCGTTGCGAATGCTACAAAAGGCTTATGGGGAATCAGTTTTATCGAAAACTCAAGTTTATGAGTGGTACAAAGCCTTTCAGTACGGTCGTACGACCGTCGAAGACATTTCGCAACGCACTACTGAGGGGGAAAACTGGTTTCAACAGCTGCCGTAAACGAACTGTCTGACAGATCGCGCTCATTTTTGGCATAGTAATTAAGGACAGTGCTGCCAAACTACATAAACTTAAAATATCGAAAAATATACAGCGCGCGAATTTTAAATGAGAATTTCCGAAAACTTTTCAGTCTTAATGTATATACAACTAATTTAGACCAATCTACTAACCAATCTTTTATTTTAATCGTGTTGAAGTATAGGTATGAAGTATATATGAAGTATATATATATTTATATTTTTATATAATATATTTTTATATATATATTTTTTACATTTTTACAAATTTAAAAATTCTATTAATATTTATACATCCATAACGAAAACAAAACAATTTGTTGCAGTATTATTTTTAACTACTTACTCTTCACAATTCCCTTATATTTGAATATTTAATATGTACGGAAATAACATTGCATACATTTATTTTTTGTTTTTGTGCACACAACAAATCCATTAGATATGGTTACTAGCATGTGATAATGTTGATAATAGTAATGATGTTGGTAATCAGATGGAGAAAATACAGCATTAGAATCCTGCCCTGCAGTAAATTTAAAATAAACAAACAAAAGCAATAAATTGAAGGCAATGGCGAAGGATATAGCAAAAAAAGCGCAATATACATTAAAAATCAAACGAAATAAAATTAAACAAGGGGAAATCGAAAATTCAATCCCCATTACCATAGCCTACCCGGCTTACTCGCAACACCGATGGTGCTGCTGATGATGATAATGATGATGTTGCTGTTTTCATGTTAAACTAGATTAACATCAGTGGTTTGGGGGAGGCGTTGGTATGGTAATGGGCGTGAAAATTCCAAAATGTTTTTGTAACAAATGAAGTTGTGAAGTTGTTGGCTAATTTTTGATGTTTATTTATATTTGTTTATGGCCTGGTATTTGCCAATGAAGTTAAATGTTGTGAAACACACACAAAATATTGTCTTACCATTTGCCCGGATGCTTTTAAAATCTCTTTAATAATTTATGAAAGACAGATTTTTTCCTACTTTTTCAGTTTTTAAACTAACATAAATATATGTATATAATGATATAAGTACATTTGAGGTTATGGAATTATACATAGAGAAATACCAACACATATTCTTATACTTTCGACTATAGTATAAATAAGTATTATTTTAAATCAAGTTTTTAAGATTTTCATCACAAAACACGGTTGAGTAAACGAGAGGAAACGGAAATTATTAAGCAGTATCACGTCCGCTGGATATTCCCTGTACATTTACGTGCTACATTTCGTAAATGTGTAAATATATATTTAATCTCTAGACATGTTTAGAAAAGAGAAGTCCTAATTCTTTTGGGGGCTACTAAATCCTTTTGCAATAGTATATTTTACGGACATACGTTTTGAAACAAAATTCATCTTTGAAAATTGAGGGCAATAAACCCTTCACAAAACCCTCTAAATATGTCACTGGCAGAAAATACATACGGACATATGAAAGATAAATTTGGCTTTGATGTGCAGT